TAATTTAGAGAATTGACAGTGTATCTTTTTATATCCTGTAGTTGTGCGAACAATATTTTATGTAACGTCGGACTCGGGAATTTCGTCGTAATGACCAATAATGAATAAAAGACATCATTGTTAAAATATTTTTAGATTATTAAAAAGAGAAGTTTTAGAATCAATTATAACCTTGGAAAATGTAAGTAATTTCATTTTTAATTATACTTACTTAATAAAACAGTTTCTTTGTGAAATATGAAGAGTCAAGCGTTATAGTATCAACACCGTGCTTAACGTCTAAGCAGATTCTAAAGAAATACATACATTGGTCCCAGCTCTTTTGCAGTTAGGATGTATATCGTGCCAACGCCTGCCGTAACAGGTCTAGGGGGCCTCGGTTTTTTAAGGTCGCCTCCGAAGGACTCGCTTTTACTTCAAAGTGCCGAGAGCATGGCGAAGGAACAGTTGCAACCCATTTTTTTTTATCGACTAAGAACCGTCGCGGCCGAGAATCGAACTCACGACCTCCCGATCACGGAGCGAACGCTCCACTGACTGAGCTACCGAGAACAGTGATTGATTGATTGTATGTTGTTTAACGTCCCTCTCGAGAATTTTTCACTCATATGGAGACGCCACTACTTGCCGGTGGAGAGCTGCAAATTGTGTCCTATACTCGGCACTTACGGCCATTGAGCAGGGGGGGGGGGGATCTTTTTCGTGCCAGCACCTACTGCGACACGGGACCTCGGTTTAAACGTTCTCCTCCGAAGGACCGGTCTCCAAGTCCAACAGTGGGATTCGAACCCGCGACGTAAAGATTGACTCCTCACTTTGCGACTCTAGAGAATACACTCTAATCACTGCGCCCGCGTCTTGAAGTTTGGTTGATTGATTGCATACTGTTTAACGTCCCTCTCCAAAATATTTCACTGATATGGAGACGTCACCATTGCCGGTGAAGGGCTGCAAATTTAGGCCTATGCTCGGCACTTACGGCCTTTGAGCAGGGAGGGTTCTTTATCGTGCCACACCTGCTGTGACACGGGGCCTCGGTCTATACGGTCTCATCCGAAGGACCGCCCCATTTAGTCGCCTTTTACGACAAGCAAGGGGGTACTGAGGGCCTTTTCTAGCCCGGATCCCCACAAGACTCTTGAAAGAGGTAAATCCACGAACCATCATATTTGGCCCTGTGTTTTTCACAAAAATCGAGTTTCTATTCATGGCCGGTATTATATGTTAATTATAAGAGGACAACATACTTCTTTTCCTTACGTAACTCATTTGATTAAATAATGCGCTGTTAGGCACGTGCAATGGTTTGAAGATGCAACGGTTTCATAAAAACGTTCAAAAATGCCGATTTTTCGACAGATTTTCCCAAAATTAAGTGTGGCCACAGTCAATAACAGCTTTCATACTTACCATATGTATAAATATTGCTCATACAAATCTACACGTTTAATATAATCGCTGTTCATACGTGTGGCCAATATAAAATATGCCTTTACTTTTGATGTCGCAAAGATTCACCAGTTTTGTTAAACATTCAATAATATTTGGTTTATATAACTATATTTGTATAAAAATTACACACAATATATTAAAAAAATAGTCAGTAATTCGTTTAAAACGAAATTTGTGGAGATGCATGATCTTCGATGTATATTATCTGAATTCAAAACTCAAAAATACGTATAAGTTACATTTCTCTTCGTCAGTCTTTGAACATGACGTTAAAAGTAATGCATATACGTCAATTGTGACATCATAAAGACTGTAATTATTTTAGATGGTAATTGATTTTTTTTCACGTCTGCCCTTCCTTATACAAGCAAAATAATATTGTGCTAGCTTGCTGCTAAAATATCAATAAAAAAAAGAAATAATGTGTACGAAATTGAAGGATTTAGATACTAAAAACAAAATCTTTAACTTGAATGAGTATATGTTAATTTCAAGTTTCTTGTAATATTACGAGAGGTAGAGTCAGCAATGTTACATATTATAGCCACAATTTACATACGTATATCAGCCATCGATCTATTTTACTTTTAAACAAAATCTTCTGAGATAATTTTATGCAGGTGTAGAAAAGTAAATTTTCATACTGCTTCAAAAGCAAAAATCCTAGTAATGATGCTGTGCGTACTGCTCAAGGACATCGATGTATGTACATATGTATACTGTATATTGATATTTTCATCAATATATATTTCAAACAATTATAATTCCATTTGGTACAAATATAAAATGAAGAAATATGTCAGTGTATTGGTGTGTCTTAGAATTCAGTATTTATAAAATATTTTCGCAACGCCCCCTTTGCAATGTGCTTTAAATATTTACCTGTATAGGTTTTCCAAATATTTCATAAGCAATCTCTGCTACAGGTCGTCAGTTAGTTGGAGGTAGATGCAAGGGCAAATCTAGAAAAATTATACTTAACTCTTTACAACTTACAGAATTGCTATGCAACATACATTGAATCCTCGTGTCATAGAAATATTACTTTACCATTTCCCCGCAACCACTTACGAATTTTTCTAAAGTTTAGCGTAAATAATATTCTAAAATAATGTTTTAATTAGAAAATAACTTTTTTTATTTTATGAGATTCAAGCAAGTATAAAATAGTTGGAATTTGGCACTAAATTGAAGATTAAATGAACTTTTTAAAGTGCGTGAAAATGCGTGATTGCGGGGAAACGGTAAATGCGTGATTTTGCGTTAGAAATAGGAAATGGTATATGCGTTAAAATGCGTGGCTGTGGGGAAGGGTGTTAAATACACAATCGAAAAAAAAAATCAATTTTTACAAGTGAAAAACTGAAGAAGTGAAATAAATTCTATTAGATAGTGTTGGGGGGGGGGGGTTGTTTTCATTCATAAACACAAACTTAAATCAACAGGGTAGGGTGATTTATTTCCTTTATTCTATAATTGTAAAAATATCCCCGGCTGATCAGAGCTAGAACATTGATTTTGTAATTGTTGCCTGGTCGATAGCTTTCCGTATCATAACAGCGGGGGTTATCTTTAATCTTCTTCATTATTAAAAAATATAACATAGATCTATAACTGCATAACATATAACTGGCCTTGATCTACACTTGATCTACACTTGAACGGTCTTACATATTCCAGTTTCCGATCAAAGGGGTATCAAACATTACATAAAATGACAGCAGTTATTTAATACATGGAGTGTACCAGAATATCAGAATTATCTCGGGCATGTAATTTCGTTGCCTTCATAAATCATAATTTTAAAATATGCTAGCTTGGTATTTAGGATGTGTTATTTTCACATTTTTTCTCTCTATCCCCGAGATGATAGCGATTTGATAGGAATTCGTTGAATTGGTAAATTATAAACGTTACCTCCTTTGTCTGTATACCAGGGATGGGGTCAATTACTTTAAAAAGTAATTAATTAAATTACAATTACTTTGACTTTTTCTTCAATTAAATTACAATTAAATTACAGGCTTCCTAAGACATGTAATTAATTAAATTACAATTACTTTACAAAAGTAATTAATTAAATTACAAATTACATTTTCAATTTTTGAATTCTTTTTATAATCATATGAATATACAGGATCATTCACTTGTCTGTAAGCACTGCCTCTGCGCAAACAATACAAATAATATGCTAATAGGCATAGAGTATCTTTGTGGTTTAAATCATGACTTTTATTTACATGACAGTAAAGAACTATTCAAGATCAGTTTGATGCGATTGCCTCCACACAAAACCTACATGTACATAAATTGCTTGGGTTATAATATTTGATTAACAGGGTTTTCTTTACTAGAGTAAATTAAGTCGCAACTATTATATATAACCCCCTCACATTAAATGTTTCTTTATTTTTAAAGGTAACCTTAACATCCTAAATTGCTACTTATGTTGAGCATTTTTACTTCATATTTATATAATACTTGAACAAAATACTTTACTTCATATTCATATAATACATGTACAAAATAAATCTTTTTCAGATACAAAATTCATTCATAAAATTCTGTTTAGATGTTAAAATAATTATCAAATTGAAAGTTTGTCTTTTCTCAAACTAGCGGAGCATTTTTAATTGAAATAATTATCCCCATGCATTTGCTTTGTCATCATAATCATGTAATGACTATGTCTTAAGAGGGGTTGATTTAAATGTTTTGATTGCAATTTACAGCCGTGATCTGTAGGGCAATTATCTCTTAATACCAATAAGAGAGAACTTCATTAATGACACACACATTCCTTTTCTTCTTTTTTTTTCTTGACACAGACATTCTTATTCTAGGTTGATCAAACAACAGAGATTGAAATATAATAAATCAAGTGTGTTTCATAGCTGAATAGACCTAAGAATGGTGGTGCAAATTTAGAGAAACATAAAACAAGAAAAGTTCAAATTTCATATAATGATTAGAAAGAAACTACATTATAATTATAAAATAATCTGTCTTCTGTATAATTGAAGGACTGAGGATTTGTTTTGCAATAAAATAAAAGACAGTATTACGGGGAGGTCGTGGTGACAATGTATCATGAATGTGTATTATATAAAGTAATTGAATGTAATTGAAAAAGTAATTGAAATTACATGGTATTTTTTCAGTGTAATTAATTAAATTACAATTACAAGTAATTGAAAAAATGTTCAATTACAAATTACATCCAATTACTTCAAAAAATGTAATTAATTACAGTCAATTACTTTTTTCAATTACCCCATCCCTGCTGTATACCCGGTATTCATCCATGCACGCATCTAAATGAAGAGACTGGTATTTGCGGAGAACCTATACTAAACTAAGTAAAAGTGACCTTGGATCCCTCCCAGATGACACTGAAACCCTGGAATCTGTGTTGAGTTTGTATAAAAAGTCATGGTTTTATTTGTATGGGAAACACAATCATCGTCGCAAACCACGACAAAAATGCCCATATCCTCCCATTCTGGAGGAAAGGGCTGTATGCTGACTCCAGACCGTGTCTTGAGACGATGGGGGAAACAATCCGAAACATGGGAAAGGAGTTTTTGTGGGTTTATTTTGTTTATTTGGGAGGTTTGTTCTTGATTTGTTTTGTTTGTTTGCATTTTTTGAAAAGAGATTGCTGGGTTGTATATTTTTTTGACTGGAAAAATATTCTGGATCCGCGCCTGTTCATCTGTTGGCGTTTAAAGATGTTTAGATAAAGTGGTTAAATATTTGGTAAATAATTTACAGTTTATCAAAACAAGTGCCGTCAAACGTCTTTGATTATGAATCTCGAATGAATTTCCAGTATGCATAGCAATGTACACTACCTTAGAGCTTCAACCCAAGGGATAACACTTGACGATAAAAAACGTGTGAAGGTACGTCGGCAAAATTATATCCTTCCATATGTACATCAAGTCCGAGGGATAATTTTAAACAAAATGTCCATACAATTACGCATGATAGGCAACAAATACATGTATATACACATGGTAGTGTTAATTACGCACGGCCCTTGTGTTTTGAATGATCACACAAGTAGCAACGGATATTAAAACAGCCTTCTGTTGCCTATACTATAATTTCACCCCCACCAAAAAAAACACTTAATATTCACTTTTTCGTGACTTTACGGATTAATCAATACTGTTGATCCATACAGCTAATATTTACACCATTAATAATTTTCCCCTATTTTTTCCTAATGTATCATTTTAAAAAGTTGTTTTTGATTTACAGGACAATATAACAGTATTTAGACACTTTTTTAATCAAAGCAAAAACTAGCTAGCTACATGTATTTATCTCAGGATTCAAAACTTCTTAACTTTCCTATGATAAAATTTCCCAAATTCTTAGGTTAGGGTTTATTTTAGCGGATCCCCCTTCCTATAATGTAGATATTATTACCTTCATTTAAATAACGTTAACTAAAGTCATACCGTTACAATATACGAGTACATACGAGGGGTTATCAAAAAGTTCGTGGACTAGCGTCATAAAATTAAAACCGCTTTAGGCACATCAATGAATTTTAAGATATCAAGTTAGCATCACTTTTCCTATCTTATGTATAAACCATAAATAATAGATTTTATTTTATAATAAATTAGTAATGTATTTATAAGCAATGGTATGTCCAGGCGGCGCAACCTCGAAAACGACGTTTTTGCAACCTATGTGCTAATGAGAAAAACTCTTTTGATATGATCATTTGACATCCAAAAATCCCGTTAATTCAGTTATGTATTGGGACACAATTGTTCCATAAAATATGAAATTTTCACTTAATTCTGAAAGCTCTATGAAATTTTATCGTACATTTTACACGGAATGTCCAAACATATGTGGCCTTGAAATGACTTCAAAAGGGGGGGGGTCCTTTTCCAATATTCTATAAAGTTTTGCCCCTGAAAAAACTGGTATAGACCTAAAAAATATTGAAACTGGCTACAGAGTAATAATATACATCCAGAGTACTTGTCTTTTAATGTCAAAATAGATTTAGGAAGAAAAAGGATACACGGTTTATATCGATTTGCAGTCAAGATGTGAAAAATCAATCACGTCAAAAAATGACATTAATCATGTGTAGTAGATATTGAACTCCCAAAAGCAAAATATGCCGGCACAATCAAGCGAGGATCTCTCCCAATGTGTTAATCCATTTGGAATATTATATTTATTGAAGTCCACTGTTCATGGCATTGTAAAGTCATGTAAACAAGGCGGGTTTAAGTCCTTACTCAGCTCCAGGGAATCTCAACAAAAAAGTGTATGAGGTAGAATAAGGATATGGAAATAACGAACAGTATTCAATCTCAACGTCCATTAAACAAATATACAAAACAAGAGCAGAGCAAACACGGACCTCCGAAACATCAGAGGTGGGATCAGGTGCCATGGAGGAGTGAGCATCCCCTGCTGACCGGTCACACCCGCCGTGTGCTCATTGTCATAATCAGGAAATAACGGAAAAAATCCGTAGTCAATTCAGTGTATAAATAATGGACTAACAATTGGTATGAAAAACGTCAGTCAGCATTTCATTCAATGATAAATTGTATTTGCTGACAAGGTCATTGTATCGACCATAGAATTTACGAAATGATGACTTTAAACGAGACTGTTGATATTCTTGTTTCATCAACTTGCTTGTCAATAATTTACCTCGTTTAAGAAATTGTTCATACGTAGAGCATGCTCTTGCGTATCGAATCAACTGAGATATAAATACTCCGTATGCAGGTGATGAAGGTATATTGCTGCATAAGTAAGGGAAGTTGACGATAGAAAAGTTAAAGTCATCACGTTTATCATATAGCTTGGTTGTTAGATTACCATTTGTGTCTTTTTCAAGTAAAATATCCAAGTATGAAGCAGATGTGTTGGACTCTGTGGTATCTTTTATCTCAAGCTCACCAGGATATATCGTGTCGACGTAGGAATGGAAATTATCATTATTAATTGACAATACGTCGTCGATATATCTAAATGTCGAGTTGAAGGCCACAGCAAGTGTTTTTTTCTTTTCACGCAAAAGATTTTGCATAAATTCTGCTTCATATGAATATAAAAATAAGTCTGCTAATAACGGAGCGCAATTTGTACCCATGGGAATTCCAATAGATTGTTGGAATACCTGGTCTCCAAAAACCACATAGATATTGTCAATCAGAAACTCAAGCATCTTCTTGATGTCAACTTCAGAGTACTTATGTGTACAATCAGAATCTGTTTTAACAAAATAATTTTTCAAATGACCAATGACGAGGTAAGTAAACTTACGAGTTCCATTTTTGTTGAAGAAGCAGCTGTCAATGATATCAAAAAGCCTGGATTTTAATTTGTCGTGCGGAATTGTTGTGTATAAAGTTGAAAAGTCGTAAGTTTTTATGCTGTTGATTTTTGTAAAGTCTTGTGATTTCAAATTGTCCAAAAGTTCTTTAGAATTTTTAAGTATCCACATCTGATTTACACCACTTCTTGAATATATAGTTGTACAGTACTCTTGAAGTTTTTCCTTCACTACTGTCAATATTTTAGTGAGAAGTAACGAAAGAGGCTTGGTTGAACATTTACTGGAACCTGCAATGTATCTTTGTTTGTAAGGATTCTTATGAAGTTTCGGAATCCAATATATATAAGGTAGTTCAAATTCATTTTGGCTCTGTGGAATATTAAAAGTATTCAAAACTGACAGGTGATTTTGAAGGATTTCTTCCTTAGAAAGAGTAGTATATGTATAAGTAGAAGAAGCGGACATTTAAAAGAATATTGACGTTATTGGACGTCATGAAAATAAACGACGACAGCGCCGGGTGATCATATAATGTCGTTTTAATTTTATAATAATTCGGCAAATAATGAACGTATCAGGCTAAAATTTTCAACATTTCTTTATTTTTTGTTGTTTTATGTTCCGTATAAATTTTGAAAGCACAGACTACATAGAACTAATTTTATAGCCTCAGTCCACGAACATTTTGATAACCCCTCGTATATGTGTATATATATAACGTCAAAAGTCATGACGTTTAATACATGTAGATTTTACTTGAAAACAATACCAATTTTAAACGGCTATAAAAAGAAAAATGGGAAAGATAACACTAAAAAATAAATTATGTTATAACCCACAAAGTGTAACCTATCACAGAATAAAATTTTATTCATTTTGGTGACAGAGCATATTTTTGCACTTCGTGGCTTTAGCTCTTTGAAGTAATTGTCAAAAAAAAAAAAAATGAAAAACGTTATTTTAAATTGGTCATAATTTTTGGACGAAGAGAGAGAGAGGACTATCATATTACAAATATATATTACCTATGACCTTTATCAAATATTCTATGATTTTTGACTTTGTAACCCTGACCTTCATATTTGACCTAACTTTCCAATAAAAAAAACTTTGATGATTTTTTTTTGATAGGTTGTTCATTTTTGACAAGCACATATACCTGTGTAAAAATTTTACTGAATGCACCATATTTATACCCTTGACCTTCATCTTCATGTTTGATTTATTTTCATACATTTCTTCAGAGATGCATTAGGCATCTCCAATGAACTAAGACACTGAAAGCGGGGGACCTCGATTCTTTGAATTTGCTTGTTTTAGTTTAGAGAAAGAGGACAAAAGAATAACAGCTCTGAAGAAAACATAATACATTTATTTAAAGAGATTGGCTTCGAGTTTTCAAAACATTGACTGGTTAGGATCTTGAAATTGTTTCGGAATTAGGTGAAAATTCGTTGCTTCAATTACAACTTTTCTATTATTTAAGGCAGTCGTAATAGCAAGGGTACTGTCAGACTGGTTGATGGGACCTCCCCGTCCAATGGAAGAGTTGAGGTGTACTATCAAGGTGTATGGGGGACAATATGTGACGATGACTGGGATGATAAAGACGCTGCTGTTATCTGTACAATGCTGGGATATTCAAGGTGTTTAAAAATATGCAAAGGTTAAAGACAATGAAATTTACCGTCTCACATTGATTGAATGTATTCAGGGGGTGTGGGGTACGATATGTGATGATGACTGGGGGGGACGATGACGACGCTAGAGTTGTCTGTACGATGCTGGGATATTCAAGGTCTTTATCTATTCAAAATAAAAAAAAAAAGAAATTCACCTATAAATTTATACCGAAAGCATGACGTTCAATGCTGGCTTCAGTAAATAACCGTGCCTTGCAGAATTTGTCTAGCGTTTTTATTGATATGAATATCTAATAAGGGATAAACAAGGTGAAATGTATAATTTTGCATGTTATGACAATCTGTAATTTTCACACATTAACCCCCCCCCCTCCCCAGAAGTGTGTTCCTTAATTCGCTCTAATTAATTATTTGTCGGTGGATCCAATGACATCAAACCTCTGCATTTTATTATATTGGATAATGCCATGGGCGAATAGTTTTTGATCCATTTAATATGTATGCATTTGATCGACTTCTATATAACATCTATTTTAAAGAGTCAAGGCCGTGGCACATTCAATCGCTCACTTTGGAGAAGGGACAGGGATGATCTGGCTTGATGACGTTGAATGTTATGGAAATGAAAAGGACATTGAAATGTGCTCACACTCTACACATGGAGTTCACAACTGTAGGCATGGGGAAGATGCTGGGGTTTCATGTTCAGGTAAGAAAATGTTCGAAGTACAGTATTGTAGGGCTTTCGTCTTCCATCAGATAAGATATAACTGAAAATAAATAATGTTTAACAATGTCTATGATGACCTGTTTTTTCTTAAATGCATATGGCCATTTTGGAATAGTCACTTAATTTTATTTTGTTTATTTGTTGTTTGACATCCCTCTCGAGAATTTTTGGAGATGCTACCACTTGTCAGTGGTGGGCTGTCTTCGACACTCAGAGCCCTTGGGCTGTGAGAGATCTTTTTAGTTTCAACACCTACAACGACACGGGACCTCGGTTTAAATGGTCTCCTCCTCCGAAGTACCGGTCTACACGTCCCTCAGTGGATTCGAACCAGCTATGTAAGGATCAGTTCCTTACTCCGCGACTCTTGAGTAGACGCTCCTACCACTGCACTACGCGGGCGAATTTATTATCGTAAATCAATACAAAAGCTTATGAATTCTCATACTAGCGAAAAATTTGTATATTTCTCGCCTTTTTGCTTTAGAGTTAATTTTGTGGGTAATCTTTAGAATTTTGAATAACATCTGTAGAGTTATTACATCCCAGTAAGATGTGTTATTTACCACAACACTATTATACCTGTTAAAAGTTTCTTTTAAAACAGACTCATTTTTGTAAAGTGCGTCAAACATATCTGAATTAAACTGTTTGGAACATTTTGTTCGTTATTCCCTTTTTATGGTTGAATGTCTTTCTCGTTAAAAATATTTCAAGGTAATTTGATGATCCTAATGTGTCTTATTTTTGATACCTCTTTTGTATGTGAAGGTCCAGATCCTCATACACTCAATGGCTTGGTTAGACTTGCTGACGAATTCTCCTCGTTAAAAGGTCGACTCGAGGTCTACTATTCCGGTATATGGGGTACGGTGTGTGGAAACAACTGGGGAAGTAAAGAGGCCGGCGTCGTTTGTGCAATGATGGGATATCCAAGGTGAGTAGTTGCTTGACTTTCATGTATATGTTGCTTAAATTTCAAATATGAAATAACATGATATAGTCGTATTAGTAGAGTTTTAAACCGATTTCAACTTAACAAAACTGGACACACAGACTACTTTAATTCTATGTATTAGTTTCTGATTTTGACAAATAGCCATGGTTACCAAAATTAAAAATGCCATAGAATTCTTTCAAATCCCCCTTACAAACACAGATATCAACAGGTTTGTTTGAAGTCTTCGTTTTGCAAGCTTAATTGTAATTTGCAAGCTTAAAATAACCTTATAAGCTAATACAACTTATCGTTAAGTCAAACGCTGACTGACGTTTTTTATACTTATTGCTGGTCCATTATCTACACACTGAATTGTCTATTTCCATTTTTCTGATCATGTCAAAAAGAACACGGCAGAGCTGATCAGTCTTCAGGAGATGTCTACTCCTCCATGGCACCTTATTCCGCCTTATGTTTTGATGGTCCGTGCTAGCTCTGCTCCCAGACTTAATTTGAGCTTGCACTGTTCGTTGCCTCTATATTTCATCTCCATCCTATTGCATTTTAGTCCGATATTGATAAAGATTTCATACACTTGTTGAAAATATATTTTTGGTTTCACTGAATGGTATTGCCATTGTTAATTACTAAATAATTTCATTGCAATCATCAACTGATAAATTGACTCATAGAAAGTAAAATGTGTTTGTGCTTTTGCATTCTGATAGATCTCCATGATCAAAGTTTAAAGATAGGAGAACCATATCAATGTTTAGTATTTAGGCGAAAACCTAAAATATATATGATGCAAAAATAATGTTTTAAAAACAGATGTTTATTTATCATTACAAATTCTCAATACTTTTTGAGATATAAAGGAAAAACGTTTGGCCCTTTTAGGCCCTTAATTTTAGGGGCCAGCCTTTTTTTTCGAGATATCATGTAAACGATCTTGGAATTCTACACTTATTTTGTTCTATATGTTTTGTCAAAATATCTCCAGGTAAAAAGATATCGTAGAAAAGGTCTTAAAAATTTTGAAATTCGCGATACAACAGTTTTCGGGCCCTAGCGAGCGCCAACGTGCAGCACTTCCGAAAAAAATGAAATACATTTTGCACATCTATAGACTTAGGACTATCATACCTGAAATTTTCACGTTTCTATCTGTAGCCATTTTTTAGAACGTTCGCCGACAACCTGATCCTTCAAAAATCATAAAATCGCCAATATTTCCGGACCGGAAGTGACGTCATCAAATCGGAAAAAAACGAATCAAGTTCAAGTAATTTTACATGAGTCCTGAAAGTTTCATTAAAATCCATCGAGCCGTTTTCGAGAAATCGCGTGCACAAAATCGGTAAGAAAAAAAGAATAACTAGATACGATCTCGTTGCGAGCAATGAATGGGTCTTCCGTCCGATTCTTGATAAGATGAGAAAAGATTTTGATTGAGATTTTCATTCTAAAATAATGATTTTCCATAATCTGTAAAAAGACATTGAACATTAAAGACTTTTTAAAAAATCGACTTTTGGCCACTCACGGCCCCAAACATTAGGGATCAACCCTTTTTTTTCATATCATCTGAAAGCTCTCATGATTTTGATGACTTTTTGTTAAACAACTATTCAGAGATTTTAAACACTTTTTGTTTAACAGCTATTCAGAGATTCTTTTTCGTTTCTGAGTTATTCGCAAAAGAAATATTTAGGGGCCAACCCTTCAACTCCCTAATGGGGACGTTAAGCGAAAAATGAAAGGTTGCATATTGTTCAGAACATGATTTTGAACATCTTTTGTTCCATTTTACTTGTCAAAATATTTCTCACTTTCGAGATATAAAGCATCGAAGTTTTGGCATTTTGGCCCCTTGTGGCCCCTATTTATGTAATATACGACATTCAAATCATAATATACAATTGTAGACTGTTGAGATAAACATTTTTGCTTCAGTAATGTATAACAAAATATTGACTGTTTAAGAGTTATCGAAAAAAGACTTTAAGCCCCTTTTGGCCCCTAATTTGAGTGCCCAGTCCCTTTTTCTGGATTTTATCTTGAAGCTCTTGGAATTTTAAACACTTTTTGTTCAACAGCTATTCAGAGATTCTTTTTCGTTTCCGAGTTATTCGCAAAAGAAATATTTAGGGGCCAACCCTTCAACTCCCTAATGGGGACGATAAGCGAAAAATGAAAGGTTGCATATTGTTCAGAACATGATTTTGAACATCTTTTGTTCAATATTACTTGTCAAAATATTTCTCACTTTCGAGATATAAAGCATCGAAGTTTTGGCATTTTGGCCCCTTGTGGCCCCTATTTATGTAATATACGACATTCAAATCATAATATACAATAGTAGATTGTTGAGATAAACATTTTTGCTTCAGTAATGTATAACAAAATATTGACTGTTTAAGAGTTATCGAAAAAAGACTTTAAGCCCCTTTTGGCCCCTAATTTGAGTGCCCAGTCCCTTTTTCTGGATTTTATCTTGAAGCTCTTGGGATTTTAAACACTTTTTGTTCAACAACTATTCAGAGATTCTTTTTCGTTTTCGAGTTATTCGCAAAAGAAATATTTAGGGGCCAACCCTTCAACTCCCTAATGGGGACGTTAAGCGAAAAATGAAAGGTTGCATATTGTTCAAAACATGATTTTGAACATCTTTTGTTCAACATTACTTGTCAAAATATTTCTCACTTTTGAGATATTAAGCGTCAAAGATTTAGCATTCTGGCCCCTTGTGGCCCCTAATCACGTAATATACGACATTAAAATCATAATATACAGTTGTAAATTGTTGAGATAAACATTTTTGCTTCAGTAATGTATAACAAAAAACTGATTGCTAAACAGTTATTGAATGAATATTTTTGGCCCCTTTTTTTGTCCTTAATGTGATGAGTCAGCACTTTTTTCTTGGTATCATATTAAAGATTTTGGCATTCCCCACAAATATTGTTCAGTATGTCTTAACAAAATAATTATACTCTAAATGATATGATACAAAATGTCTGGAAAATTCACTCATGAGTCATGTCCTAGATTTTGACCCCTACCGAGCTTCCATATTGGACCTTTCTGAAAAATTTTAAATCCAATGTGCAATTCAGCAATGTGTCGTCTATCGTCGCTGAAAATTTCAACTCTGTAGCTAATGTCGTTTCTGAGTTTACTCATGGACAAGGAGACCCTCTAAAAATCACTGAAAGGGCGATAACTTCCGACCGGAAGTGAATTTCAAAAAAATGAAAAAACGTATAAGGTTTAGATAAAGATACATCATCTCTGAAATTTTCAAGTAAATCGGTTGAGCCATCTCCGAGAAATCTTCTGCACAAAAATTGTAAAGATAAAAAAAGAATAATACTAGTGAAGAGTAGCCGAAGAATAATAGAAGGGTCTTCCGCTGAGACGGAAGACCCTAAAAAACAGACAAATAACAATAAGGTCTTCGAAGGAAGTCGGAAGACCTTAATAATAAAAAAAAACAGACGAATAACAGTAAGGTCTTCCGAAGGAAGTCGGAAGACCTTAATAAACACCACTTACTTTGAATTCATTCTTTTCATTTACAGGAGTTTGACCTTTGATATTTGATGTTATAGGCACAGTAAAACCTTTAGTAAGCAAAGATTTGTGTAATGTATCCCCCCCCCTTTTTTCCCCTATGCAATGGCAACATAGACTTTCTCTCTAAACTCTAAACCAGGCGTCGTATTAAAATAAAATTATCAGAATACTTTACAAAAGACTCCATAAAAACTTTCTGGAGAGTTTAATGGCCATTATCTCATTTACCTACAAGATATTCATTTTATCGGCAAGAAAAAGAACTTCAGAAGTGCCTAGATTCCTTTACTAATGATCGGAAAAACAAAATATACATTTTATTTAGAATTTCTTCAAATGTCTTTGATGTCCTTTGCTTCTCCTGTTATGAGTTGTTAATTTCCTTTCAGATATTTATCTTCTTTTTCAAACATCAAATTTATTTTAATTTTATTTAGAATTAATTAATCGTGTATAATATGCTTTTTTTTTTTTAGCATGGAATGGGTTTGATGTTTTTTCCCCTGTACATTCTAAGCTGACATGATTTGACTTTGATTTATGAAAGTCTGTCTACAAAACACTTCAGGATCCATCCCCATATTTTAATTGTACGCATTCCAGGAAGCAGCGATTTTAGTTTCGTACTAAAGTCCCGGTCAAATATCTTAAAACACTGAGATTTCTCATGTTTGATGTGATATTTGATGTAGCAAAATGAAAGGAACCATTATCTGATCATGGTCAGTCTAGCAGAGCGCTTGTTAAAAAAGTATAGCTACGCAGCTAACAGGGCCAATCCTTACTTTCGCTTTCTACGCTCACCAACCGTGCAAAGAACGACAACTCTAATTACGCGATGATAGGAAGAGAGCTCTAAAACTACTAATTTTTCAATCCTCTGAAACTTCTATAAGGGATCAAAAAGTGACCCTACGGATCATAACATTTCACGTGTCCTCATTATGCTGAATTCAAATCTGAAAACTGTTTGAAAATTCATTGAAAAATTAAAAAAAAGTTACAGATAAAGGTTTCTTAACAATGTTGCCCCCCCCCACCCCCACCCCCAAACCCCCTTACTTTTCCGCATTTCATTTTTATAAACCGGCTTTTAAAAATTGGCAAAATCCTCAATACATGCTTTAAAAGACAGAAAAGTCATATCAAACTGATAAAAGTTGGAAAAAAAGAAAAAAAAAATTCAACTGCCCCGGCGGGATTCGAACCCCCGACAGTGTGACAAAGTTTGGATCGGTCATATCTTTGCAATAGAGGCACGCATGAAGATAGTGAAGACATATTTAGATCTAGATTTAGATTTAGATTTAGAAACACTCTATAAACCCTGTAAATCCTAAAGAAAAATATTGAAAAACAAAAAAGTTGAGAAATGGGACTTTTTCAATTCACTTCCGTTAGCGACCGGAAGTACCGAC